CCGAATGCTGCCGCTGCCTTTGACACGCGAATACGCAGCTCACTGTGCAGCTGCAGATCAGTCGACATCACACTCCCAAGGTGGTTTCCAATACTTCAGCACCAAAGCTGATTTGCGGCGATATTGAAGATTGAACCTCTGGTGAAGGCTGAAAGAGACAGACAGTTTTGCTTGTGTTGATGGTGAGCCCGAATTTGGCCGCTGTCGAAGCCAGAGCACTAGTCATGTGCTGCAACTCATCCGCGCTGTGTGAAAACAACGCACAGTCGTCAGCAAACAGCAACATACGGATAGTTGTCTCACAGACTAGAGTTCTCGCACCGAAACGACGGATGTTCAGCAACCCACCATCAATACGGTGCTCCACACGAACACCGTAAGCACAAGCGGCATCAAAAGCACAAGACAACATTGCGTGAAGATATATATTAAACAGGGCAGGAGCAAAGACAGTCTTGCTTCACACCAGAGATAACTGCAAAGTCATCTGAGGTCTCTCCACTCAGCTGCACCCTCGCTCGCATACCACTGTGCAGACATTCGATTAAACTTACAAACTTACGTGGGCAACCAAACTTACCCAACACCAGCCACAATGCCTCGCGGTTCACCGTATCAAATGCCTTGGTGAAATCAACAAAAAGCGAGCACAATGGCTGGTGTCGATCTCTGCACTTCTCTTGCAACTGACGAGCCGCAAACACCATATATATAGTGCTGCGACCCGAACGGAATCCACATTGCTCTTCCGCCACGTTAGGTTCCACAACCTGACTGACGAGGCGATTGATCAGGATTCGGGCAATTACCTTGCCCACACAACTCAGCAAGTTGATGCCACGATAATTCGTGCAACATTGCTTGCTCCCTTTGCCCTTGTACAGTGGTAGCACAAGGGCATCCTTCAGCTCAGGAGGTACCTCCTCCTCAATCCACACGCGTTGCACCAAGTGGTGCAGCGCAGTCAACAACGCGGGTCCACCGTGTTTCAATACATCAGGTGGGATCCCGTCGGCTCCGGCACATTTGCCGTTTCGCAGCTGAGCAAGTGCTCTCTGCGTCTCATCCAGTGTCGGCGTATCCGCCAGATCCGCCTTCACATCGTGCTGCTTCAGGCCGTTCAATGTAGGCCAGTCGATCTCTGAACGGTTGTTCAAGAGACAGTCAAAGTGTTTCCGCCAGACCTGCATTATGTCTGCAGTCTGGGTGCAGGTAGCGCCTGAACTACCATCGATCAGTGTCCTCAGCGGCTCGAATCTCGGTCCATACACCGCCTTCAAGGAGTCAAAGAATTCCTTGTGTTGACGGCGTTCGGCGTAGCATTCCATCTGCTTCGCCTTGTCCGTCCACCATGCATTTTTAATGCGACGGAGCTCTCGGGTCAGTCGCCGTCGAAGTTTGCGAAACTGAACATTCTTCTCTAACTCAATGGGGTCTGCCACATGTGCAGTAAACGCTGCATTCTTCTCCGACACCAATGCGCCAGTCACATTGTTGTCATCAAACCAATCAGGCCGCTTACAGTTTGCGCGCCCGATGGTCTCCTCGGCAGCAGCTGTCACCTGGTCGCGAATGTGGTGCCACAGGTGGCCCACTGTGGCTATGCAGTCCACATCACACAGGTGTGCAGCCATCGCCTTCTCCAGCTCAGTACGTTTCGCCACAGTACCGAGGGAGAGAATGTTAAATTTACGCCGATTCACGGCGGGAGTGCAATACATAGATTTACGAAAATATATGTACAGTTTGGTCCGCACCAACTTGTGATCAGTGCCACACTCAGCTCCACGCAGTACACGTGTCATGCGCACTTCACGCATATCACGCTGACGTACGATGACATAGTCGAGCAGGTGAGCGTGACCACTCCGTGGGTGTGTCCAAGTTGCTATATCACTCGCACTCAGTGCAAACCGAGTGTTCGTGATCGTCAGGCCGTGAGTGGCACACAGTGAGAGCAGCCTGTTACCGTTCGCATTCGCTGAACCAATGTCATGCGAACCGATAACATCTGTCCACGCTGATGCATCACGCCCAACGCGCGCGTTGAAGTCACCCAGCAGAAATAGTCGGTCGCTCCTCGGCACAGACCGTATCACGGAGGATAGCTCAGTGTAGAACTGATCACGCGTGTCATCAGGATAACACATGGTCAGACCGTATGTGCTTATAAAAGTAGCAAACTTACCTCTTCCGAGTCGTAGGCGAACAGTCATCAGTCGCGCGCTGATGCCCGTTGGTTCACCCATCAGCTGGCCATGGAGGCGATCGGATATTGCAAATCCGACCCCATGTTCACGTGGTGCTGAGGCGGCGTTGCCCACCCAGTAGAATGTGTAGCCAGCACCTGCTTCATGCAGCTTACCTTGTTCAGCGAGCCGAGTTTCACTGAGCGCCGCAATATCGATGTGGTAGCGCGCCAGCTCCATCGCGACCAGTGCAGTGCGTCGCTCCGGGCGCTCGCTGGAGTTCCGGTCCAGTAGTATGCGCACGTTCCAGCACCCGATGCTGAGTGCTTTGCGCGCAGGTATACGATTGCATTGGTGGGCAATCGCACGCATGTTAACACCATCCAGAAAGTGAAGCTCGGTATCCCCCCACTTAACACGCAAGTCGGAGTGGCACAGAGTGCAGAAGAGGCAGCCAACGCCCTACGAACGCAGTATGCCTCAACCTTCCAAAGAGACTTTCGCCAGTGTGACCTACCCACATCCCTATCCCCAGCTTCGGCGCTCATTAACATCGATTTTACTGCCGCAGCTGTGTTGAAGAAACTGCTCTCACTATGCACCTACAGCTCTCCCGGAATCGCCTATATTCACTCAAGGGCGCTGAACGTGGCAGCAACAACGCTGGCCGGGCCATTATCGCAGTTCTTCCAAACTTGTTTGGATAAATAAATTGTGCTTACCATGTGGAAACATGGCGTAATCACTCCAATTTTCAAAAGCGGTAACCGCTCGGAACCCGCCAACTATCGCCCAGTAGTCCTACTCCCTTTGCTCTCAAAGGTGATGGAGGCAATCGTCGCTGAGACTTTAGTAGGCCATCTAGAACGCCACAACATCATAGCACCTGGGTAGCACAGTTTCAGCCAGCACCGTTCATGCACTACCAACCTACTGATTGTAGGCAGTAGTTGGACGGAAGCGGCCGATACAGGTAGAGGGACAGCCGTCATTTACCATGACTTCTCCAAAGCCTTCGACCGACTGGACCACCGCATTTTGCTTCACAGGCTCGAAGGCTATGGAGTTGTTGATCCAGTCCTTGGGTGGATCCGGAATTTCCTGTATGCTCGACAACTGCAGGTCGGAGTTCGAAGTGCGTTGTTCGATCCGATTTATGTCGAATGTGGAGTTCCACAAGGATCAGTTCTGAGGCCGTGTCTGTTTCTCGTGTTTATTAACGAATCTACGCGTTTGATTACTTCAGATTTCCTTCTGTTCGTTGACGACGTTAAGATGTAGCGCACGATCGCCGACCCAGCAGATCACGATGCACTTCAGGGAGATCTGGACAGTGTATGGGTGGTCACTCCACAATCTGCTCCAGTTTAATTCGGGGAATTGTAAAGTGGTTCAAATTCGCCAACAGCCGAACATCACATACAAGCTTAGAGATCATATCCTGCAAGCAGTCATCCAGGAGCGCGACCTAGGGATACTAGTTCAGGTTGATCCTGGCTGATCAGAACAATCTGAGAAGGCGTCAAAGACCGGAACCCAACACGTTGGCATACTGCGAAGGGTATATGGGCGGTTTGATCTCTCTGTCTGTTCGCAGTTGCTTAACACCTACGTGCGGCCTCATGTGGAATACGCGATCCAGGTGTGGTAACCCTGGCACAAACAAGACCTTGCAGCGCTCGAGACTCCACAACGATGAGCCACGAAGCACGTCAAAGGGTTGTTTAATCTTTGTTGTCAAGTTAGAGTGAGGACCCTAAAATTATATAGTGACCGGTACCGGCGCCTACGTGGCGACCTTATTATGTCCTACCAGATTCTAAGGAACCCCAACCACGTCTACTGTCACCTACTACAACTCAGACACAACACGAATTTTAGGGGCCGCCAGTTCAAGTAGCCACGTAATACAGTCGGCTAAAATGTCGACGGAACTTTTACTCTCTTCACGTGTGTCAGCCTTGGAACGTACTCCCAAATTACGTTGTTTCCGCCCCCACTTTACCTGTGTTTAAAGAACGCCTTGATGTAGCCCTAACCCAACTACACTACGAGATATAGCCTTGGTGCCTAGACAGACGATATAATTCGACGAACGTTATACAACCAGAATTAACGTAAACAAAACTGTGGTTGGCTCTTTCTGCGTGCTTCTGTCTTAACACTGTGGCGAGTCCACCAAAAGGACTTTCCTTTTATCCCTTTGTGGTTCCCTTTTTGGTCATCCTACGGGACTTGCTAAGAATCCGCTTTTTTCACTGTAATATACCATAGTTCCATTAAACATTTTATTTGGATCTAGTTGCTAAACGAGTTTTTGGCGTTTCTTAACCAAGCACAAGCTGTCATTGTAGAACAGCTAGAGGGAAAGCGATTTGAGTCGTGGTATGGGTCACTCTTGAAGGTATGTTTTGGACGCATTACTGAAATGGGAACCTTGGTACATGAGAATGTGCATTGGGGTCCGTTGTAGGAGTGAGCGGCAGTCCCATTACGTCATTTATCTGCCTCAGTCCGGATGTATCATCTTTGAATCCCATATGTATTTAATGCCCACTTAAGTACCGCACAGTACTACTAAAGCGCATGGTCGGATTGGATGGTCTATTACTAACGGGAAGACCACTAATCATGGATATCTGGCCTTGGTAACTCCACGTAATTCTGCGATCAAAGTTCACTTTCGATGTCTGAGCTACGGTTTAATTTGCTAATTCGATTTCTGCCAACATTTGTTTGTCATTGATGCCCCAAACCGCTGGTAATCGTTATGGGTGTTCGGTACATAACTGATTTTCATATTTTTCACAGAAGGACCCGAGGCCAAAATCCAGCAGAAGGGAAATTCCACCTTACTCCCCACCAACAGTCAAATTTGCAAGCACCACGGTAACGAAGTCTGATTTCCGACCCTATCCACTCAGCGTGATCCGGGCATTTAATAACCATATGGTAAGCAAGTGGTTGCAAGCCTTTTCTATCCTCGAAATCGATGAGCGCATTTCGTGCGCTCGAGGATCGCTTCCAACTTAGTATCTATGCTGCAAAGCGGTGCCTCTACTGTTATTGTTAATCAGCTTTTGAGCTGGTCTTAGAGAGTATATGAGTTGTACCACGATGGGGAGGTGCCACTGCTTCAACTGCGATCATTCTTTTCTGCACTCCGGAAGATGCCTTACTAATTCCAAAATCTATGTTATTGTCTATGTTACTTCGCATTTAGAGAAATTTAATGCAACATTTTGATGAGTTTGAAGAGAGACTTGGCTAACTAAAAGTGGTTGGACCGGATCCTTTTTTATCGCTTGGAGTTAGCTATTTTGTAGAGTCTACAGTAACTCGTCGGGTCGTTCCAGTTCATCAGCCTCAATAATGAAAGCTACAGAAGTAAAGGTGAACCATATATAAATGCTCCTTGGCTCAGCGCATTGTTTGTCTTTTCCCTTTGGCTTGAGTAAGAAAGCATGATATTATATATATATATATATATATATATATATATATATATATATATATATATATATCAGTTAGATTGTAGTAGATGGGTGTGAAAAACGTAAGAAAGTTTATAGATATTTTGAAGTGCACAAATACCTAAATACTAAATACCCCCAATACTTTGTGCTACTCTACAAATGACGGACGATAGAGAATTTGTGAATCTTTGCTTGGTTGGCTCCCGTGACATAGCAACGAGACCTTGCAAGTGTAGTGACTGGTTGACTTGAGTAGGATATACGACGTTAAACGAATTTGAGTGTCTGAAAGAAAAATAAACATTCAGACACCCGCACCGCCCACACTGATTGGCACAAATATCATAGTTGTTTTTGACCAAGAGCTTTATGATAACAGTATGCTCTACAGAGTAACTGCGAGATAACCGATCGCATTAGTTACCAAGTGATAAGTATGCTACCTGGTACGTAGTCGTAGCCAATACAACTTGTTGATGCATGCCAATCAATGGTTTGGCTCTGATATGAAGAGAAAAAGCCGAATTGATCTTTAACTATTTTAGTGGAAATGCACGACGTCGTCCAGAGTACGTTAGCGTAAGGGGAGCATTGTGTGGGTTGCAGCACTCACTTCGCTAGGAAAAGGACTACGCAACCGTTCGTACGTATGCTTCACGTCGGTAGGTCAGGATCATTAGAAAACTTTTTTCTGTTTTCCAGTAAGTGCATCCTATTTTCTTTACTTTCAGGACCCCAAGGATGAAGATCGTGGTGCTATTAACATTGGCGATTGTACACTATCTACAGAAGAAGCCACTATGCTGAAAGAGTACTTAAGGATGCTAAACAGCTCCTGAGGCGGATAGGCAGTTAGCTGAGACATTATGCAATTTCCTGATCCACTGGTAAATTGCCTGTGTGTTGGCGACGTCGGTGTACCCCTCCCACAAATGCACATGGAATAATGTGAATACAAATAGTACACTACCAGCATCGTTTGGTCTGCACTTGTTCTGTTATTTGGCAGGGCATAACAATGTTGAATCGAGGCCCATCGGAGCATACAGAAGGTGGATCGAGTATAGAGCGGCCTCGATGAGGTATTAATATTATTACGCACCTTAGGTAAAGGTGAAAAACATCTCAGCTACTTTGCGATTATACATAAAAAACCTACAGTAGGTGCACGCAAGTTTTGTTACCAGTAACCGATATGCATCGTTCCGGAAAACTACCATCCGGCTACTAAGTAGCAAAAGAAGATTTATTAAGTAAAATTTGTATTATACTAAGACATGAGCTAGTATTTGGAGGGGGAGGCTAAGAAGGATGGGGTGGGACAAAGAAACTCACAACACAATCGCCATTGAGGTTGACTTCTAGCCATGTCAGCAAGTGTATCCAGCCCAACGTGTTCATCCTCCTCTGGACCACAACCGTGGAGCCGAGAGGCTCCAACCGGGGTCAACGTCGAAGTGAGGGCCTTCATTGCTCTCGACCAAGTCATCGTTCGGCCACCCCTCCTCTTCTTACACTCACCCCCGGCGCGCAAATAACGCAAGTCGCGGGAGTCGGTGGACTAGAAACTACAACACATGGCCAGACTATCACAGACTTGTGCGTGAAATGACGGTGCTGACCGGTTCATTGCCTTTTCCTGTGCCGTAAACAAGGCGTCGAACACGCTCGTTGCTCATGCGGTGTTCCCACCAGATGTGAGCCAAACTGCGAAGACACTGATGGCCGAACGAAACTAGCCTCCTTACGTCTGCTGATCTAATGGCCCAGGTTTCACAGCTGTAGAGTTGAACGGACAGCTGCCTTGTACACTCTACTCTTCAGGGAGAGAGTGATATCGCGCCGGCGCCATAGGTGGCGAAGTTTAGCAAAAGCGCCTCGAGCTTTGACCATACGATTTGTGACGTCGTCTTCAATTCCAACGGCGCTGATACAACTTGCCCGAAAGCTCCCCGTAAAAGCCTCACGATTTGGATCCTCTTCTTTGATGCCTTTTTGATGTCTCTGAACAGCTGAAATCCTCCTGAACCAGCACACCGAGATCCTTTCCTAAAGAACAGTGTTGCAGATCCTGGTCCTTCAGCCTATATGTGTGAACCATTCGGTGTCGTAAATGGAGCACTCGGTAATTAGCCACACTGAATAAAAGGGGATTTTCGACCAACCATCCATAAACCTGGTCAAGGTCATTTTGTAGGTGGATACGGTCTTCTAGAGCTCTGATCACTCGCCAACGTTTAATGTCATCGGCGTAGAGTAAACAGATTGACTTAATTCGGTTCACTAGGTCGTATAGGAAGACCAAGAATAGACGGGGACCCAGTACCGGACCCTGTCTCAGACCGCCTTCGGCGTGAATTGGTTCTGTCATGGATTCACATACTCACCTCCAGACGCCTATACGAGAGACAATTGCAAGTCCAGTTACAATTACAATGATAGTGTACTTGTACAAAAATAATAGATTTGTGCTGGTGAGACTGCACCAGGCAAAACGTATTAAAAAGCTGTTACGGTTAACTTATAGCAATCGGATTACTCACCCGTCTGCACAGATTTACGTGTGTCATTGCGGCTTATAAATCCAATCTAGTTAGCCTGAATATACCCAGAGTACCATTCATACAACAAAGTGCATGGAGCTCAATGCGATATCAAATCATTTTTTACTGGCTATGCTGTGGGCACAAGCAACTAAGTTTGGAAGGGTGTTCCAGGGTTGGCAAACCCGGAAGGAGAAATAAGCTCATCGACAATCTAAACCACTGTAATGTGGACTCAGTTTCAGGCTCTTGCCTCTGGAATTGATATTCGGGTTGACTTCAAAAGATAGCGACATACGTGACTAGGGTCGCTCAGTAGTTGCTAAACTAATATGAGGTCTCCATGTAGTCGCCGGTAGGGTCCACTGAACACTCCGAGTGTCGTCAGTCGTTGCTGGTACAGAAGATCACACAATCCTTTGAGAAATTTCGTTGCTCGACGTTGGGGAGTTTCGAGCGCTGCAAGGTTATGTTTTAGCCAAAGATACCAAGCCTGATCTGTGTATTCGATGTGGGGACGCCCGTATGCATTGAGCGTCAGAGAGAAGTTGGATGAATCCAGACTCCCGAATGCTCTCCGCAACAGACAACCATGCAAAGTGGCACTTTTTGAAGCGGCCTCTTGTTGGAACAACCAAGGTCACCCTGTATCAACGCACCGAGGTCACATTGCTGAGAGTTTATCTGCAGATTGTGCGCCCCAAGCTTGTAGATGTAGACGTGTTGATGATGTACGTGGACATCACGGCACTTGTCCACATTGAATGGCAGTGTGTTCCTCACCGACCACTGCCATGCCTCATCGAGGTCGCGTTGGAGGATCTCGTGGTTGTCCATTCCCTTGATCACCCGCCAACGCTTAACGTCGTCCGTGAAGAGTAAGCATTTTGAGTTAATAATTCTCGCTAGATCACTAATAAAAAGTAAGAAGAGGTTTAAGTACCGAAACCTGGGATACACCGCAATGCGCTCAATTGAATCAAACAAATATGTTCGGACTTTGATCTTTAGTTGCCGTTCGCGGTGAAAGTTACCGATGTATTCTAATACTGGATCTTCGATGCCATGTTGCTGATTTTGTGGAGCAGAATTCAACGATCTAAGTGATCGAACGCCCTAGCCACAATCTTCGCCGTGGGAAGGTTCCATCAGTACCGCTGGGGGATTTATTTGGAAATTCACACAGACCCCAAGCCATTGATATCCTTGTTAGAAGAGACCAAAGGTATACAACAAATGTCTTCGTCAAGAATGCAGTGGTGGGCTCTGACAATGAGCACATATAATTATAAAATTACCTACCGTCCTGTTACCAGCAATCGCACAGCTGATGCCGTGAACCATCTACCAGTTGTAGGGACGTCACATGTACGCGATTCTCCCTGCGAATTGGTTCATTTAATGCAACATCTAGATACAACACCTCTAAGATCCACAATCCGTCAGTGGACAGATCGAGACCAAGTTCTTGCAACAATCAGACAATTCTTAACAGGCAGATGGCCTACCGAAGTAACCAGTGATTTGCAGCCATTTATAGCACGCAGAAATGAACTGAACTTATTTGATGGTGCGTGTGTGTCCCTCCCAGTAAGGATCGTGCACAGATCCTTCACGCGCTTCATGACGCACATCCAGTTGTTGCGAGAATGTTAGCATTAGTGAGAGGATACTGCTGGTGGTCAGGGATAGATTCAGATATCGAAAACGTGCTGTAGAATTGTGATACCTGTCCGGCACACCAACGCGGTAATGCCCCTCATTCAATACATCGGTGGCGCTGGCCCGGCAAGCCGTGTCAGCGGATCCACACCGACTACTTCGAGCCGATTAATGGAACCATGTTTCCGTTACTCATCGACGCCCACTCCAAGTGGGTTGAAGTGTATCCCGTTACGCAAGCTACGTCCGAAATCACCATTGTTAAGATGCGTCTATAATTCGCCAACTTCGGTATTCCGGAAACCCTATGTAGGGATAACGGGTCCCCTTTTTTAGCGCGGAGTTCCACAGAATTGTCTCTGACAACGGGATTCAACACATGAAATCGGCACCTTATCATCTCGCCTCAAACGTGCTGGCAGAGCGGGCGGTACAGACAAGGAAGAGTGGACTGTTGAAAAAGCGTGTAGAGACTCTACTAACAAAGCTGGGTCGTTTCCTATTTGTCCATGGTTCCACACCCACTGAAGGTACGAGTAAGTCTCCTTCAGAGCTGATGTTTGGCAGAAATCTTAGGACAAGGCTGAATCTATTGTTTCCTAATCCACGGATGGGGATAGAAGAGCGCCAGAAGAGGTCAGTGTCTTCAGATGAGGTGAAGAAGGATGCGACTTTTGAGGAAAAGCACTTGGTCTACACTAACTTTCCACAAGAAACACACTAACACCCTGCCACCGTAAATTGTTCCTCGGGAAGCCAAAACGACGTCCAAGTTCCAGACAGCCGGCTTAGTCGTCTGCACTCACAGCACGTTCCTCCACGGTGTTCAGACACACCAAACAAAACACAGACCGAATTGTGTGCAGAAAAGAACCAGAAACTGGGGGCGAACCGTAAGCATAGGCTAGTGGAACGCTTCCGAGGCGATCAACCCGCATTTTTAAACCGGGAATGTGATGACATCTATGTGGGTGAGGGATGTCACGTGCGCATTGGAAGTCAGGCTCTAATCTTCAGCTCTGGTCAAAGACCTCCCCTCGAAGCTAAACATATAGAGGCCTTAAAACAAAGAAGGAAAGTGGTTATCCTTCACCCAGAAAAAGCTTCGGACGCTGTCATTATACACATCATTATACACGTTAGTTGCAGGTGGAAAACACCTCAGCTATTGTGCTGCAATACACAGGATAAGAAAAATAACAGTGGCACGCCGGCTGAGTCCCCAGTAACGGATGAACATCATTCCAGAAAGCTAACAACCGGCTATCGTGCCGCAAAAAGTTATGTTATACCTAACGAATAAGATCGTGCTTGGAGGGGGAGGCTAAACAGGAGGGGATGAAAAAGGGAACTCACAACACAAACGCCATTGGGGCCGGCTTTAAGTCATATCAGCAAGTGTGTCCAACCAAACGTGTTCACCGTCCTTAGGACCCCAGCCAGGCAGTCGGGATGCACCAACCGACGCCAACTTCGAAGTGAAGGTTTTCATCTCTTTCGACCAAGTCATCGCTTGGCCTCCCGTCCTCCTCTCCCAACCACACCCACAACGCGCAAACAATGCACGTTGCGGAAGTCGGTGTGTTGGCATGCGCGAAAAGTGGCCCAGCCATCGGAGCCTGGTGCGTGATGTAATGGTGCTGAGCGGTTCACTCGCTCTTCCTGCACCAAAAGTGCGACGCCGAACACGCTCATTGCTCACGCGGTGCTCCCACCAGACATGAGTTAAGCTGCAAAGGCA